TAAGCCAGACGTATACCGTTCCTTCGAGCTCAAGGCAGGAGCCCACCTTGACCTACCTAGAAGCGAATTCTTACCTGGTGGGTAACACATCGACGACCGACCGGAACTCCGAGCAGCCAGTCATGGAGATGACGTCCACCCCAGTCAGTAACCTGGAGGTTACGCCCGATGGACGCCATCCGAGCAGCAGGCGCCGTTCCCCAGCTGCTGCGGCGTTCCAAGCAAACTTAGAAGAAATCAGGGTCTGTCCAGAACCTGATTCCCCGGAACCACTTCCAGCTAGTAACGTGGAGGTTACTAGCGACGCCCCAGCTGTAGGTAGCAGGCGCTACCTGCAACAGATGTCCAGAGACGAGCCCCCAGGCCACCCGAGACGCCTGTAGGACCGCCAAAAGGTGTACCACTGGCACCATGGCGCAACGTGGAAGCCGGACCGCCAGAAGGTGTACCACAGGCACCCTGGCGCAACGTAGAAGCCTGTCCGCCAGAAGATGTACCACTGGCACCCTGGCGTGATGGATTCCCCGGACCACCAGAAGGTGTACCACTGGCACCCTGGTGCAACGGAGAGGTCCATGACGACCGTAGACGACGTGGAGTGCACCCGCACTCCGACCAAACGCCTAGGTCATCCGACGACGCTCCCCAGGACCAAGTGCGGTGGCTATCACGCTGGTAACCATCCCCGACGAGAATTGTTGATTTTTATTTTTGGATTTTTGAGAGTTTATATTATTTGTGTTTTATGTTGTATTGAGTTTTGAATTTTGATTTTTGCCTTGTAAATACGTTTTTGAATTTGTGATTGTTTTTAGTTTTGTATGTTTCAGGTTTTTTGATTGTGCCAATAAACATGGTACAACAGAAAACCAGCACCAAGCGTCTTTCCGAGCGGGGGGATGTCACTAAGGTCGAGTTTTCGGTGCGGTGGGCGAAGCCTAGCTCTACCGCACCGAAACATATAAAAGTGCTGGTCGCGCACCCAGAGCAGCTAGTTCCAAGCGAGCAGCCGAACTGTGCGGACGTAGTTTGTGCAGTGCAGCGTTTGTGCAGTGAGTGTCACTGCGAGGAACTGTGAAGTGGAAGCCCCACAAAACCTGTCTTTCACAAGACAAGTAATATTCTGCCTTTATTAAGGCAATCTATAGAAAGAATTCGGCAATTTTATATTGCAAAATTTCTATTAACGACCGACGTTATCTCAGCCTAGGCAAAGAGACCGCCGGCATTTATTTTGCAGATTTGGGTGCCGGGGAGGAGGGCACTATGTCGAGATCCCCGACCCCCATAGTGAGCGACCGCTCGAGTGGCATCGAAGCCGGCGACAGCAGGCCCTGGTCGGTCGTGGAGACAACTAGCTGTGAGAGTGAGCTGACAGCAGAGAATGCCAGACTACGGCAAATGATCGACGACCTCAGAGATGAGCTGAGGCAACAGAGGAAGGCGTTCGACGACCTTGAAAAGAGGTCTCGAGAACAGCACACCGAGCTGTTAAACGCCCTCAAGGGACAACAAACCCCAAAAGGGGTAAAGCGAGGTAAGCCAGGGACCTCGTCGGGTTCCGAGGAGGAGTCCTGCAAGGCTAAAAAGAAGCCAGCAAAAGCGAACGAAGCACCTGTCGCCGAACAGGTGAAGGTCCCCAAGATCGTACTAGCGACGACATCAGAGCGCGCGGCCCCTGCCGAGAAAGCCGATAGGATACCGCCTGTCATCCTTCGCAAGAAGGAGCAGTGGACGGAGGTCAGCAGGAGTCTGACAAACAGGAAAATAAATTACACCAGGGCCAGGTTAACGGGTGAAGGCATCGCCATTCACCCGCAAACGCCTGATGATTATCGACGTCTCACGCGTGTCCTCGCCGACGAGGGGAAGGAATTTCACACCTTCTCTCTCCCAAGCGAGCGGCTGCTGAGGGCCGTGATCAGAGGGCTACCAGACGGAATTTCCAACGAGGTAATTCGGTATGACCTCGAAGTACAGGGCTTCAAAATATCATCTGTTTTCAGAATGAAGAGCCGGAGGAACAAGGCCCCCATGCCTCTAGTACTTGTACAAGTCCCCCAGGAGCAAGAGGACCTGCTCAAGGTGACAAGATGCTGCCACCTAGTCGTCAGGGTGGAACCGCAGAGGGCGAGAACCGAGCCGACGCAGAGCCATCGCTGCCATCGCTTCGGTCACGCGCAGAGCCGTTGCACCGCAGCTGTCAAGTGTGTGAAGTGCGGCGAGGGTCACCACTCGGCAGACTGCACTAAGCGCGAGACCCCGGCAAAGTGCGCCAACTGCGGCGGGGAACATCCCGCCAGCTACCGCGGATGCCCTAGCTTCCCTAAAAAGACGACAGGGAGCAAGAAGCAGCAGCGCAAAGATGACTCCCAAGCCAACAAACAACAGGCTAAGTTTGCACACCCCCCGAAGGTGACGGCGGCGAAGAGCTTCGCCGACGCCGCCAGGCCGAAGCAGGGCACCGCTGCGGCACCCAAGGGAGGGCCCAAAACCGACAGGAGCACGGAACCCGCAAATGTGGCCAGTATGCTGGCACAAATGCGGGAGATGTACTCCGCGATGTCGGCTTTTTTCAGTAAAATGTTCTCTGTTACAGGAGTAAATGGACCCTCCGACTTATGTGCAGTCCCTCAGAATTACCTCCTGGAATGTCGACGGATTCCGGGGACGAAAAATCGAACTCAAGGAGCTCTTGCCCCGTCTAGACGTGGACGTGATGGCGATACAAGAGACCAAAGTAGAGGACGCACACACTGTTAGGATTCCTGGCTACCTAGTGTATCGCAGGGACCGAAACAGACATGGAGGAGGCGTGGCCCTGTTCGTAAAAAGGAGGTATAGATCACCATATATTACAGGTTCCTCAGCTAGAAAACATGGAAGCCGCCGCCGTATCGATCCGTACTCGCAGGTACGGAGACATCGCCGTGGTGACCTGTTATCAGCCCCCTCAGCTCCCGCTTACCGATCACGATTTACGCGCTGTCCTGGAGACGTGGCCCCAAACCGTAGCCATCGGGGACTTTAACGCGAAATCGCCCGAATGGCACAGCACGACCACCANAGCCGACGCAAGGTAAGTGACTTTACTTGTCAGTCGTATTTGTTAATTTTGTATTTTCATATTTTGTGTCCCACGAATCTCTACTTTCGTTCTAAGCTCACATATTTTTGATATCCAAGATATCATGGCGCCCTGGCATTTATAAACGCTCCCTGACGTTTAAGAATCATTCATAAACATCTAAATTATTATCTTTAAACAAGTTTCATTTATCTTTTTCATATTTACAGTAATATTTTGAGTTTCACATATCTTTAACTTTAACTTACATTTTTTGACTTAAATCAACTTTTTTAACAAAGAATAGCTAGAATACGTGTATTTAATCATTTTCCTTTCACTTAAAATCAAACCCGAGATAGAGTTTCAAGCTAGCCGAGGTAAACGAAGAGAGAGGTGTTAACAGAGACGCGTAGTTATTACCTTTCAAGTAACTAGTGTCGGTGAGATATAATTTTGATGCTTGAAAAGAGGTCACGTGATTAAGATGTGTTTGATTAAAAATAGGGCGTATATTCTCACAAAAAATTTCAAAGTATATGAAAAAAATTTTTGAAAGAGAGTAAAACGGAAAGATAGTGAGCGCTTTCTACCTGCTAGGGGCAAGCATTTCATCTATCGCGAACAAATTGAATAAAATCGATGAAGCCCACTATCTTATTGCAAGACGTTTAATTGATATGCGACACGCCATATTTTAAAAAACTCACCTTTATTGAAAAATTTTCAACACCTTTTTAAAAACGATAATTTCAAATATGATAACAGCGCGGAGATAAGACTCAAGACAACGTACTGGTAGATAAGCACGAAAGGAAAGACTAGATATATCGACGTATCCGACTTTTATACTCCGCTGATAACCTCGAAACCTTCTAATCTCGAACCTGTCCCTAACGGCTGATATCTAAAAGGCCTCTTAAAGTTTATGTCTTTGCCATTAGAATCAGTATTAAATTGAGGATTCAGCCTAGTATGAAACGTTTTCGTATTTAAAATTTAAATCGAGACACAAGTTGATAATAACGTCTGCTCTAAAGAACCACCCCCACCCCATTACCTGCCTCTGCAGCCACTCTCTGTGTCCGTTTATCGTTTTCCCTTAGCCAAACTGGTAAGTTTTTGTATATATTTTTTTTTAATTGTTTCAAGCCACAAATTACTAATAGTTTTATGGAAACTTAATATAGAAAAGCAGAAAAAATATTTTATGTAGAAATTACACCAAACTGGTAAGTTTTTGTAATTTTTTTTAAATTGTTTCAAGCCACAAATTACTAATTATTTTATGAAAACTTAATATAGAAAAGCAGAAAAATTAATTTATGTACAAATTACGTCAAAACTGTACTTTACTAAAAGTAGAAAAATTATGAAAAATTAAATATAGAAAAATTTAGTCTTATATTTTAAAAAAATTTACTCTTACGCCTGAACCGGATAATTCGGGTCATTACTTTCCGATGCAAGATGACGTCAAACTGAACTTTAATAAAAAACAGAAAAATTATTTATTAAAAATTATTTATATGAAAATTGGGTCAAAACTATACTTTACTAAAACTGTACTTTAATAAAAAATTAAATATGAAAAATTATGAAAAATGACGTTAAACTGAACTTTCATGAAAAAAATAGTGGCAAAAAATTATTTTACAAAAAATAAAATCCGAATATTTTTTATGTAAAGGGTCAATAGTAATTTTAATTGTAAGGAAAGACCCTATAACGTTCAATTATGTCCTAAGTCGCAACGGATCTGTTTAGTTTGAAACACTGCCGTCGAGATGGTTCAATGGTGTTACGAGTATGGCACCAAACAATTATATTTTTGAATTTGCCCTAACCACAAGACAGCCATTTTTATCGTTTCGATAGCCCGAAGGCCTTTCGCGTTCACGGGTGGATTTAAGTTCTTCGCGTGTGGCTGAAACCTTTTTTCGTTGGCAAGGAAAAATCCAATGATTACCCTTAGGTAATCGTTTAAGATAGACCCCTACACGACACGGGTACCTTATCAAGCCAGCATATTTAACTGTGTATTGAATCGGTACAAACGACGCGATCTGAAATGCAGAAAAATCTAGCAACTTACCCTTCGTATGCCTTCTTTCTTCGTGTCTCTGTCATTCTGTTATCTTGTTTTGAACTTCATGCCTCTGTAGCCGAAATTCATGCCTTTCTGTCCTGGTTAGACTTTCAACTGCCTATAAAATTAATGTTTTAGATTTTTAGCCGTCATCTTGTTGTTGAATAATTTGTAACTTTTTATAAAGACCCTGTAGCTATTGTTTTTGCTCAACTGCTAAAATAACACCCTGTATAATACTGGTTTTAAATAAAAAAAATTTAATCTGATTTTGGTTTTGATTTTTATGATTCTAGTAAATTGCCTTTATCTTTTTTCAATAAAGATTCGTCTAATTACCTATTGTTTAATTGTTTTTGGTTCATTTTTTCAGTTATTATAATAAAGCCCTGTATTTAATTTTCGGTTAGTTAACGTTTATTACGATTAAGTGATTTTTTCTGTATTAAATAAGCTGTTTTACCAGCTAAATTATAGTTTTTAGAATGTTAATATGTTTTGAGGATTTTTTTAGCTTGTTTTCCTGTTGAAATAAGCCAATATTTTTAATTAGAAGTTTTCTTTACTATGAAAAATAATTATAGTTTAATATTAATGCTTTAAATATGATTTTATTATAAATAAGCTATTTTAACAGCTAATTATAGTTTTTAGAATACGTGGGCTGTGTATTAAAACTGAAAAGTAATCTGAAATGATGAAATTTAAAGCAACTTACCCTTCGTATGCCTTGTTTTTGGTTTCCATGTCTCTGTCATTCTGTAGCCAAAATGCATGCCTTTCCAATGCTGCTCTCTCTCTCTCTCTCTGTCTTTCCGCTGTCTATAAAAATAATAATATAAAAAATAATTCTTTAGATTTTTAGCCACCATCTTGTTGTTAACTAATTTGTAACTTTTATAAAGGCCCTGTAGCTATTGTTTTTTCTCAACTGCTAAAATAACGCCTTGTATAATGGTGGTTTTAAATAGAATTTTTCTTCAATAGATAATAAACGTGTAAGTGAATTTGTTTAATATACCACTAATTTTGGTAGCTGGTTTGACTGTTTTAGAATTTAATGCTAATATTTTTAGTTATAGAATTTTTTACTATGAGAAGTAATTGCCGTTTAAGATTATAACTGCTATACAAAGCTACGTTTTTAACTGAAAATGTGTATATAGACTTACCTTTCTTTATCCAAAAGGATACACACAAAAAGCACCACTCACTATAATAATCCGAGAAACTTTTAACAAAAAACAAGCAGAGCAGACTCGTTGATTTTATGACTAATTATAAAATTGATTATTAACAGTCTTAGCCAAGAAAAGCCGCATAGTGCAGTGACTGCAGTTGATATCGCCAGAACAGGCCACGGGCTGTTTTGCTGAGACAGCAAAGGCAGCTGTGCTAGCGTTTGTTGACTTGGTTTTCTTATCACACCTAAGCGGAATAATTTCTATTTCAATACAATTTAAAAAATAAAAGAATTTGCCATTGGGCTTTAATATGAACTTAAGAAATATATATGAACATTTAAGACGAAGAAGGATTGACCCTTTCTGTTCTATTTTAACAAACATTCCTAAAGTAAATTCCAGTAAATATTTTTAGCCGTAGTCTGTAATAATTAAATATGCATGCATATTTATTAGACTCGCGCTCCACTTGCAACGCCATCTACGGATACACGCTCGGCCGCGTTTTGAACTACTCTTACAAATTGAAAATCGTGACTACTGTCTACGTCACCGCTCGATCACGTTTGAGGCCCACGGTGGCGGGCGAAGCCCTATACAATTTACGTATATCTACGAGGGGTACACGCGAAGGCCTACGAACAATACTGTCTACGTGGGGAATCCGACATACCTACATGAAGATACCTGCATGGGGGTCTAGCGGGCAAAGTTCTAGGTGGGGCAAAGCCCTAGGTGGGGCAAAGTCCTAGGTGGGGAGGGCTGAAGTCGGTCCTGCGGGGATCCTGCGTTCTGATTGGCTGGCGGGGAAGGGGAGGGGGAAGGGTAGGGGGAAGGGAAAAGGTGGAGGAGTGGGGGTAAAATTCGTCAAAAACTGCTAATATGAACCTTCATAATAGCCCGGGAGGCAGCGACAGAAATTTTGCACCAATTCCTACAAAGCTGATTTTTTTCTCATTTGTTGTTTTGATATCGTAAGTAAACGGATCGGCAGTCTACTGCGCCAATGTGGGGGCAAACATTAATAACAATTTTTGAAACATGTAAATAAATAATACTTAAATGCCTTATACCTACAAGGCTGAAACTTTTTAGAGTGATCAATTATACCAAAAAATACAGTATAATGATAGTCTACCGCGTCGGAAGCGGGGCCATCAAGAGTCTACCACTCACGGAAGCCGTTGAAAAATTAACTTTTTTGACTTATTTCTACAAGGCTGAATTTTTTTTCTCAAATACTTTAGTTTATAAGAGAACCAAAGAAAACAGTCTACCGATCATCTAAGGGTGCAAAGCCTTGATAGACGCAATGGAATGCACGATCTCCCGAGGGCAGTCGCTGCGCCAATCCGCTTAAGTCGCTCTGAATAATAACTCATACCGAGATTAAATTAAAATCTACAAAGTTGCTTTTCTGTCTATATGTAGTTTACAATAATTATTGTCAATAAACGTCTTCTATCTTCGATACAAGGTGGTTAAAGCTTCGGTAGACATGGCTAAAGTTTTTGCGCGGGAACTATTGAAAGCAGCTGCAATACATTAATTTCATAATTATTTAATGTTCAATCCTATATTATTATTTATAAAATGTATTGTTGCATGTTTTTTAAAATTAAATAACAAAATAATCTCTGATTTTATTATTAATTTTAAACAATTTAGAAGTAAACTGAATGACGAAAAGTACAGTAAGTTACTGTTATTCGGGCTCGGCGAATATTGGTTGGCTATTCAAAAGGCGAGCCAATATCCTTGGCTGGATATATGACCTCGGATGGAGGGGGGTCGAGCGGGATTATAGCTCTTTATCCACTTCTTCGCTGTAGGCCCGGACACCTCGTAGATATAGGCCCTTTCCCCGTCATCTCGGACCGCCGATTAATTCGTGGCGACTTTTCCTGTCCTGGCCCAGCCGGAAAGGGCCCATTCCTCTGGAGCTCCTCTTTCTTCGTCGGCTCATCTGAGTAAACCCCCAGGGTGTGTCATGTGTGGGTGAGGTCACGCAGCAATGCAGCTTAGGAAGCACTGTGTTAAGCCAACGCGGGAGGGGAGAGGGGTAAGGAAAGTAGGGGGGGAGATGTGTGTGTGTATATGTCGTCGTTTTCGGTTCTTGATACTAGTGGTCCTGAAACAGACGGAAAAATTTCGACTCACCCTGCATCCAGAAGTTGATGTCTAGGCCGCCTGTATCTGCCGGTAGCCTCTGCGGATCAACGGGTTGCTGTGTCTGATCACTTTCAGGGTATTCAAAAGGTGTTATACCTGCTCCCTAAATATGTTTGTCTCGGCTCCGGCCATTCATCCCCTCTTGATCTTTACGTGTCGAATTTATAGCAGAGTCATCCGGTGTAGCCGACACGATATATAAGATACTAAATCTGATATTTTGAACGTCCCATTTAGTATTGAAATTTTGAATTTAGTCTGTAGTATTTAGTATTTTTAATTTTAAATTAATATATGCTCTAGTATTTCCTTGTTGTTATTATCGAAAATCATGAAAATTCTGCCACAATCCTGATCGTGAAGAATTAACAAAACAAAAGTTAACTCGGCAGTTGTAATTTGATCTCTTTTTAAAGTTCCTTGGCGTTCCGTTCTTCTATCTATGATTGTTCTATATTCCTTTCCGTTGTGTCACCAGATCATTTCCTTACTTTTATATCGGTTTTAAGGTTAGTCGTTTATCAGTTAAATCTAAATCCTTAAAATAAACGCAAACCAAACTACCATTAGTGAATTGTACTAAATTGGCAAACAAAAATGCAGAATGTTATCTATTTGTTTTTCATAGTTATTGATCATTTTTTTCTTAGTACTTTGTAGTATCTTCAGAAAACTTCAAGTTAACTCCACTTTCAACTTTTTTCCAATTTTATCGTAAATTACCAGGATTTAGCATATCCTGTTTTTTTTTTGTACCAATCAGTATTTACTGCTAATCCAGAGGCGACAACCCTGGTGCTAGCTGCTCACAAGTGTGGCTTTGGTAAGCGTCATGGATATAAATTATAAGTGAAAGAGAAATAAATTTAATTATCCAACGGTAAAAAGGTCAGTTATTTGAAAAAAATTTATTTTCAACTTTTACTAATATTATAGTAGCTAAAATCTCGCTCGCTAACGCTAGCTCGTTATTACTAATATCGTACGTTTTAATAATGGTGCGAGCTCAAAAAATTATAATTATTTAAATTGGGAGATCGTGCATTCCATTGCGTCTATCAAGGCTTTGCACCCTTAGATGATCGGTAGACTGTTTTCTTTGGTTGTCTTATAAACTAAAGTATTTGAGAAAAAAAAATTCAGCCTTGTAGAAATAAGTCAAAAAAGTTAATTTTTCAACACCTTCTCTTGATGGCCCCGCTTCCGACGCGGTAGACTATCATTATACTGTATTTTTTGGTATAATTGATCACACAAAAAAGTTTCACACTTGTAGGTATAAGACATTTACATATTATTTATTTACATGTTTCAAAAATTGTTATTAATGTTTGCCCCCACATTGGCGCGGTAGACTGCCGTTCCGTTTAGTTGCGATATCAATACAACAAAATGAGAAAAAATCAGCTTTGTAGGAATAATTACATGAATAGTGTCGCTGCCTCCCGGACTATAAGAAAATACATGGGACTTTGGCGTCATACGCACATAGCATATCTACTTATATTATATATTTCTTTCGGTCTAGTTAAGTATCTACACATTAGATTTGGTACTTAAATTAGCCATTATTATGTAACTTAAATTTAAGTAGGGGGGTGATGTGGTGGTTAAATGGTATAGTGCCGTGATTCGATGTGTGTGCGCCCATGTATTAAGTGGGCGGGGGAAGGGACCGGTCCGACGGAGCGCTCCTGGTACGGCAGTCTCCACCTGACCAAGGAAGAGGCTAGGCGTATTGCTAATCGCTAATAATAAGTTGTGGTTATTTTCGAGAAATTACGTATATTTTTGGAGTCAATTTTACTCCGCATTATTGTAGTGTGTGTTGATGTACATAAAACGTTTATTCTTAAATAGAGTTCTCTCCACAATACCTCAAAAAGAACCACGAAAGAACCCTGAGATCGGTGACTGATTCCCCAGCTAAGAGTAGCGTTAATATTATTCATATTAACCGGGGACCACCACAAGTCATTTACAAACCTGTGCTTATATTCAATTTCAAACAATTGAAAACGCACAGTGGGTAAATGTGTAGTGGAGGATATAGAAGGTTTTATGAAAGTGGAAGTATGGAAGATAGCGATAGAACTTTTCGTGCTCTGACTGAAATAATTATAAATAATTAGTCAAAGTTTCATCAATCCATGTCAAACATGTTCAAAGATATTGACTTTTTTAAAATTTCAACACTATATCTAAAAAAAGTGGCTTTGTCGAATATCCCTGCATAGAATTTTTTTCTTATTCTGATTATCTGAATTCAAATTTTAAGTTTCACCAAATAACTTCTAAACAGATTGTATAAACAAAATACTTACAATCAATATATACCATAATTATTTGTTGATTAACACATTTTGCTGGAATTCCTCATCACATTAAAATAGAGTAATGATAATGTATTTACTGAGAAATGCAGGTTAAAATACTTACCTCATCTAAAAATTCTGGTTCTGTGGCTGAGGCATCCCATCTATTATTTAATATAAAAATGTTTGGTTTCGATAACTTTGTCGATACTTTATGAAAGAAGTTCTTCTCCTATTACAAAAGAAAAACAAGAAATACGATTTACTGCATTATAAAATTATATATACTTATTTTTACCGTAACCATAAGAGTAGATTCAGCATTAGCTACCAATACAAAGACGTCTGCGTCTAAACAATGTTTGTCTATCCATTCGTCTAAATTAGGGGTTACATCTACACCAGGCGAATCTACAAATACTACATCATCTCGAAGTAAAAGGCACCTATTTTTTGGCCAATACACTTTGACTAGTGTCGACTCGTTTAGTTTCTCTTTGCAGAGAGCATGAGCTAGTTGACCCACAGATTCCACAGCACAATGTTCTGTAGAGCCTTCCTGTACCAAGTAGGGTTCATCTGTTGAGGTACCTTCTACCTAAAATACAAATCAAAACATTTAAGCTTTACCTTTTACCTACAACACAAATAAACTGTCTTAAGATGACTGCCCATTCGAATGTTTCAGAGACTACTTCGATTTCAATTTTGAAAATTTAGGCTTTGGTGTTTTCGGGAGTGCTCTATTTAAATAAAATAATGCCATTGTTGTAGGACATCTGGTGCTCCTAATTTCGTTTATCAGTGTTGAAAATAACTTTTAAACAAATTTTCTTTATGCATTTACAAATTTAAATGCCTTTTTCTTGAAAGGTATACCATTTTTAAGCAGAAAAGTTGGAGAAAAAAATGTTTCCAGGCCAAAGTGAAATACACCATAGCACAAAAAAGTTTTGACAGTTTAAATGCGTGGTCTACTGGTCGCTTGTGGCGCTCTCTAAAAGATATAACAAAATCGTCGATAAATTTGAATTTCTCACCCAAAAAAAAACCTGGATAAGAAATTTCACTAAATTCGCTCGAAGTAGTAAGTTTTTGAAAAATGCGCATTATTATTGCAGAAGAGTTGCGGTTTTCGGCATTGTCTTCGGAAAAATATTAGGAAAAAAGTCTATCTATTACACTTTGGGCTGGATCGAAACTGCATTGCGGGTGCATAAATTGTATCTTGGAGAGCATCAATTTTTCAGAATTTTTAAAAAATGGTAAACATTTACTAAGAGTTGTAGAAATTTGTGTGCACGGGTTTTCGGGGTCGGAGATTCCGAATCTGACCCTGAAAATATGCCCGACGGCCTTGGGGCCCCCCAGGGGGCAAGGGCGGGGGCCGTCTGTAAAACATCGAATAGCTGAGTAATTGCCTTCTAAATCCCCACTCGAGGGTTTTGGGATCGGGGATTTCGATTATGACACTGAAAAGTATACCCGACGCCCTGGGGCCCCCAGGGGGGCAAGGGGGGCCTTCTGTAAAACATCGAATAGCTGAGTAATTACCTTCTAAATTTCTACTCAGGGGTTTTCGAGGTCGGGAATTCCGAATCTGACACTGGAAAATATCCATTAATCTTAGCTTGTCTATCACTGAGAAAAATTGTCGTAGAATTGGGGAAATCCTGGACAATCCGTTCCCAAGAGACACATTTCGTTACATCAAAGAAATATTCCTTAAAACCGAAGAATATTTCATGGTTCATGGATTTTCAAAAGAATCTCCCGTGCGACTGTGGATAATGCATAACAATTAGGCGACAAAATCCGATTATCGACAGTGCAGATCTTGTGTGAGCAGGAAGCATGGAATTACATGCACAATTGCATGTACAAATTTTTGAACCAACTGTTCCAATTCTGAAATAGTCGAAAATGTAATAGATGATAGTGATGGAGACAGTGATGACAGTACTGATGATGAAAATTGTGATTGATAGTGAAAGTGTTAGAAAAACATATGATAGTAGTTGTCTCATTAATTGCCTTGCAAATAAAAAGAAAATTGGTTCTCAGAATAAAGGGGATTCTTTTCGACTCATTAATTTCCTGTTAATTTCCCTTACCCTTCTTGTCTAATCTCTGTAAATTTAAGTGTGTTACAATGTAAAGATGAGCCTACAATATGGTAAGCAAGTGGGGCGGTTTTATTGCAAAAATCTGATGTGCCTTTCGATGTTTTCCAGAAAGCCCACCCCACGGGTATCGGGCATACTTTTCAGTGTCAGAATCGGAATCCCCGACCCCGAAAACCACCGAATGGAAATTTAGAAGGTTACTCAGCTATTCATTCGATGTTTTACAGAAGGCCCCCTTGCCCCCCTGGGCGGCCCCAGGGCCGTCGGGCATATTTTTCAGGGTCAGATTCGGAATCTCCGACCCCGAAAACCAGTGCTCAAAAATTTCTACAATTTTTAGTAAATTTTTCCATTTTTAGAAAATTCGGAAAAGTTGATGCACTTTATGCACCCGCAATGCAGTTTCGATCCAGCCCCAAAATGTAATAGATAGACTTTTTCCTGATGTTTTTCTGAAGACAATGCCGAAAACCGCAACTCGATCGGTTCATCAGAAACAAATTTCCGTATTCTTGATTTATTGTCTAACTTGCCTGGTCTATATGGAAAAAACGGTCAGTCCAAGGTGCAATATGTGTGCCAACGGCTGATTCGATATCGTTGATATAGGTAGGTTGTAATTGATAAAAAGAAAAATTTCAAAAAGTTGAAATTAATTTACCCTTTACAGCTAACAAAGTAGGACGTGTAAAACAACAACCGTTCGGCAATTCGCTTTTTGCATTAAATAGAAGCTCTATTTTAACGGTAATAAAAAAAGGAAATCACCTACGCATCTTTGTTCCCAAGATAGCTTCTTTTTTTATAACGTTAATTGTTAATTGGACGTATCGGACCAGGGTTTTAGAAACAATTAAAGAAAGGGTTAAACTTTTATTTTCAAAAAGCTTGATCAATTTTGATGATTTTGTCATTATTTTATAAAGGGTGTTTTTGAATGAAGTAGCATAAATAATACCAGTGAATCTACATTTCAAAAGAACACGATCTGCAAAAAATCGCCTTAGTAAAATGTTCACCCCTGAAGAGATATGAGCCATCAGTTTCCAAAAAAAATATGGAAATTGGCTGTAATTTGAAAACCGAACGAGGTACAAATAACAAATTTTTTACAGGTTGTTTACTAATACAGATGCGAGTTTTTAACTATTTATCGAAAATTTTAACCCCTCGAAAGGGGTTGAAATAATCACCCCTCAAGCCATTTTTTGCCATAACTTTTATATTTCGTAAAAACTCGATATCCAAAAATACGCATTAGATAAACTGGTTCTTTTAGAAACTTTTACCTCTCTAGCAATTTTCATTTAAAACTTTTCGTTTATTAATAAAAAAATAAAATGTATTACCATTCACCTCACACCGTATATGATTGCAATCAATCAAAGAAAAACTAAGTGTGCTGCTGTCATGCCAGTTGTCACAATTAACTCTTCTGTAAGTTGTCACTGTTATCAGCTAAATACTTTTTGGGTGTAAATTAACAAGAATTATGCCAAATTTTACTAATGATGAATATGTGGACATGCTACAAGTGTATTTTGAATGTCGCAAAAACTGTGCTGCGGCAACAAGAGCGTATAATGAGAGATATCCAAATCGTCAAGTTCCCCACAGACAAACTTTTTCGGCGGTAGAACGAAGACTTCGGGAAACTGGAAAAATACAGCCGCATATTGAGGGTACCGGCCGAAGACCTACTGTTCGTACTATTTATCTTGAGGATGCAGTACTTGAAGAGTTTGACGAAAATCGTCAGACTAGTACGAGAAAAACAGCAATGCACTTAAATGTGTCCCATAGTGTTGTTTGGAATATTGTCCATGATAATTTATTATATCCTTTTCACCACCGGCCAGTTCAAGCTCTACTTGAACCAGACATGCATAAGCGAGTTGTTTTTTGCGAATCGTATCTTAATATTCTAAGAAATAATTTGAATTTTGCCTCAAAGATACTTTTCACAGATGAAGCAACTTTTCAAAGACATGGTTTAACCAATATGCACAATCTTCATTCCTGGGCTCATGAAAATCCTCACGAAGTATCTATGACAACATTTCAACATAATTTTAGTTTAAACATTTGGGCAGGAATTGTAGAAAATGTGCTTGTCGGCCCTTTTGTTTTACCTCATCGACTTGGTGCTGTTGAATATTTGCAGTTCTTAAATGAGCATCTACCACCACTTCTGGAGGAAGTACCATTAAATGTACGTCAGGCCATGTGGTACATGCATGACGGGGCTCCTGCTCACAGCACTGTAGTAGTTAGGCGGTGGCTTAATTTAAATTACCCGAATCGTTGGATAGGTCGCGGCAATGAGGCACCTATCTCTTGGCCTGCACGTTCTCCCGATCTAACGCCCATGGATTTTTTCTTTTGGGGACATATAAAAAGTATTGTTTATGCGACCCCAGTTGACAGTGTTGAAGAGCTACAGGAAAGAATATTCGCGGCGGCTGATGAGATTCGCAACAATCCCATAATTTTTGCTCGAGTCCGTAACAACTTTGATAAACGTGTTAGGTTGTGTTTAGAAAGAAATGGCAATTATTTTGAAAATGTCCTTTAACTAAGTTTTTTGTTTTTTCTCTTTTTGATAATAAATTATTTCTTAGTTTCGTTTTCATTGTACTTCTATTTAATAAAAGTTTCTGCGACATTCAAACAGTTATTTGTGCAACTACTGTAAAGAGTGTGTATTTGTTGTACGATGCATGAAGTTTGCAGCTCGAGACGAAGTTGAGAGCTGCAATCATGTTAAGTGCAACAAATATGCTTTTTGCACATGTTGCACGCAACATTTTTTCTACGATTGTTTTTATTTCAAATTTTATTTAACAGTATTTTACATAATATTAAAATTTTAACTGACAACTGGAAATTAATTGCGCAAATTGTCAATGTCAGACGTTAGGTACTTATGGATATGCTTAGATTAAACTTGTAATCAATATTTTTTTTGTACTACTGTAAAAAAAGTTAAACTTTTGGCACAGTAGGTAGTGCAATAAGTAGTAAATTTTGCACGATCGTAGAAAAAAACACTTGTAGCATGTCCACATATTCATCATTAGTAAAATTTGGCATAATTCTAGTTAATTTACACCCAAAAAGTATTTAGGATAAAGGATAAAGAACACGTTTATGTGATTGGAGTTACTCCAAATCTCGCTTATTCATAGTACTATGCTTTAGCGTAACAATATCATATTTCAAATAAACAAATTATATATATTTTTATAAATACGTGCATTCAGTATGTTTCGTCAAAAAAAAATTATAAGGCTTATATAAAAATTTATGTAGGTAATATGTATTTCTGTTTTATTTTAACCAATTCATAATAGGAGAGGGTATAAAAAAAGTTCTTATCTGTCCTGGCGGCTCACAGTGGGGCAGAATCCCAAAAAGCTGGCCAAAAGTGAAAAAATAAAGTTTCTAATTCGGTAATTTTTACTGTTGGATT